TGGTAGCCTATTTTCTAGGAAAATTATAATGTTAACTATATAATACAAATTTGTTTTTTTATTTATGTAGTTATTTTTCTTAAAATTATAATATATATATATATATATACAATATTTCAAAATTAGAATTAAGATTCAAATATTTTTCTCTGAAAACTATTTGTATAATAATTCTTTATTTTAATATTTTAATTAATAATATACTTTAAATTTACATGTCAAATGTATTATAATTATATATAATAATATATAGCTATATATTATATAAATTAATATATAGTATTATATATCTTATACCTATTATATATTTTTTTTATTTTGTATAATATAATATAATATATAATATATATTATGTTATATATTATATTATATTATATTGTCCATATAATTTAATATAATATTATATAACATAGTATATAGAGGGAGGAGAGGAGGGAGATAGAGTTTATCCTATGATGTTTTCTTACCCAGTTCTCCCCAGGTTAAAAAAAAATGGATCTAAAGGATAAAATAAGGAGTTATGGCGCAACAAACAACTTATAACAGAATCGGATAATTATCCTATCACTAGGAAAGTAAAATAATCAAGGCAGGAATGACAGAATGACACCTAATCTAAATTCAGAAGGTATATGGAAACTAAAGCTAGCATTGGCACCCAACTGTCAAGTAATTCTGAAACATGCATACATGAAGTTATAACTGACAATGTACATGCAATGAAGAATAATCATATCAGATTATTACCAGCAGATCCTTTGTCAAACTCGAGCATAATAGACTGAGTCAAAGTGCGAACAGATGAAGCAAAGCCTTCTCCATTGTTCAGTGATCGATCCAGCTTAGTCTTGAAATCATCTAGGGCTTTAGAGCGTATATGCCCTAGCAATGTTGTATAAGCAGGGCTTACAAGCTGAAAAGTTGATACAAAAGAAAAGAGTTATAAATTACAAGAATTTTATGCAAACACTCTTCAGAAGTCCATATCAGTAATACTTCAGTAATCCTTGGCCGTTTTTAGCTATTTACATTTTCTGATTACTAAGCAAGTGCACTTGAACAGAGTATTTCTGCATTATTTGATGGATTTTCGGAACATTTGAATACAGAAACAGTGCAGAACAGTATGAATAAAAAAATATCGTAACTTCACAATGGATCCAATTATAATAATAATCAATATTGAATGTTTATGTTGAAGAATAGTTCCTAAAAACATACTCATTCAACAAAACTATATTAATTTATATAGAGAATTAAAGTATAAAAAAAGTTGAACAAGTGTATCAAGTACTAAATTCTTTTTTTTCTTTTTTCTTTTTTTTGAATTTTTGAAACCAGTTTTGGCTATATAACTGGCCGATTACATAACCAATTTTAGTTATAACTGGTTTTGGAAATATAACCGCTTATTAAAAAATTATAACCAGTTCTGATTTGAATATAATAACCACATTTATAAATGGTTATTAAATGATTATGCTAGGTTATTTAAATAACCTAACCATAAGCACCCCTACATTATCCACCAATCTGTACTTCACTTCCCCTACCCCCTTCCCCCCACCACCTCAAAAAAAGTAAGCTTGAGGAGGGAGGATTGAGTTTAGCAAAATTCAAAAATAAAATAAGAAACAAAATCATAAAAGGATAGCCAGCAGCCTTACATCCAATGCCTTTGATTCCAATTGCTTTCGTTTTGCATTTCTCACGGCTTCATCAAAGAAGATTGCCTCCTCGTCATATCTGTTGAAAGCAGACATTATCAGCATATAAAAAACAGATTGAAACTTTAGGAGGCATACATAATCTAAAAATGATGGAAAACTAACTACTAGTACCATGCATGGCACAGGGAGTAAAAAATTTGTGTAAAGAATTGTATATTCTAAAAAATAATAATAATAAATTTACAAATACAATTTTGATAAATTAAGATATAGAATACTGACAGTATGAAATTGAGTGAATGGAGAATATTTAATAAGCTTAGTAGTTTATAAAAGAAAAATGATAATGATACAGTTTAGGGCAGGAAAAAATTGGTTTTATATATACATATATATATATATATACTTTTATCACATTTATCTTTATTTAAACACTTTATCTTTCACAATCAATCAGTATTTCACTCGTGATAGTTATATATATATATATTTAACACCCCCAACTTAAAAATAAAATATATATATATATATGACTTATTCTTAGACATTTATTCCTAGATTAATTTTATAAATATATATAAGATGAGGAAGGATCAACTTACTCTTTACCTAGATCTACTCTATTCAATAACTTGTGTTTTACATCAAATTTCAACAATCCAAACGTTGAATTAAGAGTTCTTAATACATAGATTAAATTTACAAAATTTTAAAAAAAATTAAAAACTATTTGATATCTCGTTTCATTAATTCAAATCCATATAAAATGTTTTTATGATTATCCATCAATTTGAATTAATCAACCAGAGTATCAAATAATTTACAAATTTTCTAAAATTTAACAGACTTAATCTATGCATTAAAAACTACTAATTTGTAAAACTTGAGTTATTAAGTGAAGTAAATCTACCAAAACTTACTCTTAGAGTAAATGGATCCCTCCTCGTACTCCTCATATAAGAGTGAAGTGAAAATTTGATTTTATTATAATATAAAAGCAGATTATAACAATAATATATATGTGTATATATATATATATATGGTTTAATTACTGATTTGGTCCATTTATTTGCACATGCTTTTTTTTAGTCCCTATACCTAGAAACTCTATGTTTTAGTCCTTAATGAGCAATTTTTTATCATTTAGTCTCTGCCATCAGTTGCGTCGTAATGCCATTAAATTTGTTGCTGATGTGGCCATGTGAGTTCCACTTGTGTGCCTTGTTGGCATTATGAGATGGCAGGTTCAATGATTTAATTACCCATTGTGCCCCTATACTTGCCCAAACTTTGCATTTTAGTCTCTATACTTGTACAAACTTTGTGTTTTAGAACTATAAACTTTATGTTTTAGTCCATATACGAGTATTTATGTTTTATGTCTTTGACTTTGCCATCAGTTGTCAAGTACACCACCACAAAATCAAAACTGACAATGTAAAACAGCCAAAATTTTAAAAAGAAGGATGGTTGATTTTTGCCACACATTGCCACTAGAGGCAATTTTTGGCATACACCGCTGCCGAAGTGGTTACTGGTGCAGCATCATCTTGAAATATCAGATTATAAGCTGCTTAATTTAATGGAAAACCTTTAATATGTATTAACAATAATTTCTGACAAAATGTATAAAGGATTCATATAATGCATACTAATCAGATTGACAGGTTGATTTCTGTGTACATGTCTGCAAAATACATGACTTAAAATATGTATCTGATAGGTCTTTATGTCTAAATCCTCTAACCACTTAAAATATGTATCTGATATGACTTTATGTCTAAATCCTCTAACCACTGGTGCAGCAATTTCATTTAGGCATGCAAGGCATTTGACAAATTAGAGGTTAGAAAGTTGTACACTTGGAACAATATGCTTTTTAGTTTTTAGTGGTAGGATATCATCATAGAATTCAATTTTGGTTGGGTGTGCACAGAGGCAGATTTGTTGAGGCTTCGAAATTTTATGGACAATTTAGGGGATTGTCCATGGGGTACAATTAGTTTAGCTTTGTCAGTGTCTGAATGTTTATGTAAAGTTGAAAGAATTTGATCTGTGTACACAGATCCATGGGCAGGTTTCACATGTCGAATTCTCATCCAAGAAGGACGAAAAAGAGGAGGGGGAAAAGGAGGAAAAATAAAGGGAGGAGGACCATCTTCTTTTCAAATTATTGGAGGCAGTGCACGGCAGAACCATCTTTGTTTTTAAATTTTTGCTGGTTCAACAACCATCAAAAAATTTCAAGAAGTTTTACATCATTAATTTCAATTTTGTGTGGTGTTAGAGCACCTAAAGTTAATGGAATTACTTAACGATTGATGACAAGCTAAAAAACTGCTCATACAGGAACTAAAACATTTAGGTTCTAGGTATAGGGACTAAAATATAATAAATTGTTGAACTCACCACCTTAGCATACCAACAAGGCACATAGGTGAGCCCCACGTCAACAAAAATGTAATGATGTTACAATATAATTAACAGCAGGGACTAAATGACCAAAGTTTTGTTTGTACAGGGACTAAAACATAAGAGTTTCTATGTATAGGGACTAAAACAAAAAAGCGTGTGCAGGTATCAAGACCAAATGATTAATTAAACCTATATATCATCAACGTCTCTATCCTATGCACCACATGCATATGTTGTTAAGAAATAGAAAGTTTTCAATGAAATAAATGAATTTTCTATTACTGATGCAATGATTTATTCCTTTTCTAATAAAAACTTTCTATTATTGACATTTTAACCTATACACCTAGTGAGTTTAAATGACTTAAAAATCATATATATGAGCATACTTGTGTGTATAGAGAGAGTGAGTTGTGTTGTGTGAAAGATATTATAATAATATATATGACATGATAGTTTAGGACAAGAAAAGTAGTTGCTGGACCGAATGTGAGTGGTTGAAGAAGTTTGACTTGACTTGACTTCTTGAGATATTTAGCATAGTGAACTTCTTATGGAATTATAGAGACCAGAAAAAAATTTGAATCGACTCAGATTAATCAGCAATCAAGTAGTTACAGAACATAGATTTTTCTAGAACTTGAATAAAAGTCTATCAGCATCTGGAACTTACTGTGAAAGGCAGGCATCAATAATGGAGCTCAGCTTTTCCCCAAAACCTCGTACTGGACCTAATTGAACAGCTTCCTCCAATTCCAACCAACCCTAAGCCAAATTCATTCACATGATGACTGATTCTAAAAATAACCGAGACAACTAACAATGGAGAGGAAATGGATGTGCACCTTATCAGAGCGCAGTTGGTTAAGTTTTTCATTTGCAATCTCTTCACAACGCACAGTTGCAACCATTACCTGTTAAATAAAACTTGTAAATAAAGAGAACCAAACCATTGTTACATCCCAACCCAAAAATAAGCTAATAGGAAACCTTATGAGCTGGAAGATCAAGATCCTTGTTTTCTCGTATGACTTTCCATATTTGCTGTGCACTAATAGAAAAGGCAGAAGCAGGCACAACACCACGCCGATCACCAGCCAGACCTCCCGGTGCTATAGAATGGAAGAAACGCTGCCGTAATTGAGCAACCTGTATGAAAAATATTAACACTATGATCACACCATATCTGAGATATGGAAAGAACCCAAAATGGAAAGGTTCAACACAAAAGTTTCCATAATTTCATTATTTGCTTAAATGTTCATAGGCAGAAAACTATCAGGCAGAAGATCCAGGTCTGAAAGCAATACAAATTAGAAATCACTTCAAAACAAGGAAAAGGCGTCACAGCACAAACTCCTAAAAGTGATGCATGGTCTCATGAAAGGGTACCTCCTCTTTGAACTTATCCTCCTTGTCCTCATAGCTTGACAAAGCAGTAACCTCCACCTTCATTTGAAGATTCATTAATCAAACACCTTAATATATACAAAAGCAGTTGGCACATGAAAAGGGGAAATATATACACACAAACACACACATAAACATTTGGCACATGAAAAGGGTAGATGTATCTTACATTAAAAAATTCACTAAGAGGAGTATGTTGATGGGCTTGAGGTTTTCGAACAGCATCCCAAATCTGAGGAATTCATATCATGGTAAGAACTAGTGAAGAAGAAAAACAAGAACCCACAAAAAAAAAAAAAGCCTAGAAATTAAATGGGAATCACACCTTCTGAATATCTTCTCTTAGAATAGGCTCCAAATGTTCAAGTGGGGTCTGCATTGACAGCCAAAACATGATTAAACATTGATTAGTAGAATAGGACAAAAGGGTGCTTTTGCAAGAAAGCACAAGGATTCTAGACCTTTGTTTTATCACGTATAACAAATAGCAATGTTGTTTTCCGGGGACTGAATAAACGCATCATGACCTACAAATACATGAAAGGTCAGAGTGAAAAGTCAAATATTGAATACCCAACCAGAGGTAAATCCATGGCTAAAAACTACCTGAAAAACAGTTTTTAAAAGAGGTTTATTGGCTGCTTGCTCTCTACCAATATCATGACACCACCTGCAAATAAAATAAAATCTTCAATAACAAAATGGATTGAATATTTGCACTAGTCTACTGTGAAGCACCATAAGCCATGGAACAGAGTTCTTTTTTAATTAAATCTGAATACTAATTTGACTCCAAAGAAAAGTAAGGGAATAAAAAAAAATTGAGAGGACACAGCTACTGAAAATGAAAAAACATTATGATCACCTTTTGCATCTCCCATTACAGGATAAATATATTATATCCCATCCTACACTCACTTACATACAATGTCAATGATTCTAATTTCCAAGTGTCGGGTAGAGTGTAGACGATAAGCAAGATTATATTAAAACATAAGTTACTAGATCAAACGGGCAATATACTAAGTTAGACAGAAAGATTTGCAATTCCACCCAGACTTCAGTTAAGCAATGTAGTTTCTATGGACTGCACAAAAACGTTGGGTGTGAAGTTGATAAAAAAAATTTAAATATCCAAGCATAAGCCTCACTTCAAGGATCACCCCAGAACCTGATTCATTCAATCAATTATAAAGCAATAATCTAGACCTAAAACTTACATGTTTATCAGAACAATATCTGATATTGCCAAAGCAAAAAGAGCACTCTGTTTCTCGAAAGCAGTGTCATCCTGAGAGTTTATTTAAAAAAAATATAAAAAAAAAGGTAACAGTGAGTTCTGATGTACATACAACAAAGAAATAGAACAGGTACTTCTGTCAGTAAAATGAAGCTAGAACCTGTTTTAAGGAGCACTGATATCATAAATTCAAATTTTCAACTAAAAATATGGACATGGTGAATTGATGTTTATAATAGTGCAGTGCACCATGAAATTTTCATTTATAAACAAAACAGTAAAAGGAAGGATCTTGCAAGACAAGTAAATGCAGCTTTGAATTTCCAACTAGGTTTGTCTTGTAAAAAAGAGCCTTTGGCAGTTGGAGGAAAAAGAAACTACAAAAAGAAATTTGACAGAAAACATTCCAGCAATCCAGCAAAATCAAAGTCCAAACTCTCCAAAGATAGTTGGAAAAGAAGTGTGTAAGAGCCAAATAAAATCAAGAAGGATTGCAATTCACTAATGTATCCATCGCTGAAATCTTTATTGATTATAAATCCCAGTTGAAGTGAGGACCTTGAGAAGTTTTCCATGAAGGAGTTGTGTGAGGTAAAAAGGTGATAGGCCTCAAGCAATTATACATTTCCCTATCAAACTAAGGGAAACGGTGGTGGCAGACTGGTAGTCGGAGAGTGGTGACACACTGCTGTGTGAGGGAGATGGGAGTTTGAGTTCGAAAGAGATGACAAGGAGGAAGAAGAAAGAAAACTGGTTAGGGCAGTAAAAACCAAAAACCTAAATAGCAAGCCTTATCCTAGAACTCATGAGATGATAGTGTTATCCGTTTACAATAATAGGATTAAAAGAGTCAATCAGATTTAGCGATACTATCATGTGTCAACATCAAGCACAAGTTAAGAAATTATAGTATTTTCTTAAACTATCAGGTCATTCTTATCAGATGCTCTATATACAACTTAAAATTACTAAAAAATCACCAAACTGGTGGATCATTACAGGTTCTATATATAATAGACAGATACCACTTGTGTAAAAAATAACAGAAAGATGAAAAAACTTCTAATACAGAATCGATTACCTCGCCCCTCTCCCTTCCATCAGTACCCTCTAAATCCATAGCAATCGTGGTTGGCTCAATCCCGACACACTTGGCCATCCAAATGCCCTTGGTCGTTTGAGATCTGCAACAATACGATACTCAATTACATGCTCACCACAAACCAAAGCATAACAGCCAGCAAGAATGTCCACGACATCCAGTTTTCTCTACCCAAAACAACACTCAATAATTTAAAAAACCGAACCTTCCCCTGAAAGCATCCATCTCCCTGAAACTTGTGTGGAAAAGATGATTCATTAACGTACTCTTCCCTGTTCACAAGAAAAACACAATATTAACTCGCATAAATCCACAAGAGAAAGAGAGAGAATGAAGCTAAAGAAACTGCACTCGATTGATAACCAACTAAAACTGTAAAAGCAGAAACGGACAAGAGCTATAGCATATCCAATTATTAGAGTTATTTCTGTTTTAGGTTATATCTCTATGAGTTTAATTTCTATTACAGATTCTCTACGACTCTATCGCGGATTCTTTTTCTCCTAATCCATTAATGCGTCACGTCTCATCTTACTTTCAACACAACTCACGTCAATCAATCTAATCTAAACCTAATAACTAACCGGAGCTACAGTAGAGATTCTCTATAATTCTATCACAGATTCTTTTTCTCCTAATCCACGAATGTATCACGTCTCAGCTTACTTTCAACACAACTCAGGCCAATCAATCCACCAAATCTAAACCTAATCACTAACCGCAGCTCCACTTGAGAGCAAACAGAAACTAAGAAAACATGCTTCAATTAATCGATCCAAGTTCAACAAACACAGAAGAGTCACGACGCAAGTTCAACGGAAGCAAATCAAACAATTCGAATAAGCGAAGCGAAGAATCGATACGCACCGCTGCTCTGAGGTCCCATGATGGAGACGACGGCGTAGGAGAGGCCGCAGGAGGCGAGGTTGACGGTCTTGATGAAGTTGCCGAGGCCGTCGACGTTGAACTCGCCGTCGCCGTCGATGAGTTGCGTGGCGCAGGAATCTTCGTTGGCCATGGCTCGTTCGCGAAGGTGAATCGAATTGAAGCGAAGAGAGATCAGTATCAGAGGTTGGATCTCTGATTGGCTTCGGTTTGCTTTCAGCGCTGATTCTTTGTTTGAGGTGTTGGCTTCCTTGCTACTGCCCTGCCAGTGGAGAGGGAAAAGCAAGGAATAGAAGAAACACGGGTCTTGTTGGCTTCTGTTTGACGTGAGTCCAATGACACGTGCCACTCGCACTCATCCAATCAAGCCACCTAATCCTGTTCCCTTTTCTTAAAATTTAAATAAATGCAAAATTAACCGGTTAATCACACCCTCTCGCTTCTTTGAATATTTTAAACAATTGCTATGATCGACGAAATCTTCCTCAACCGATAAACTTTATCTTTTCTTTTGAACTCGAAACTCAAATTTAATATACTGAATAATGTTAGTCTCACCATCTCAGATCGACAAGAATATATTTTAGTTTTGAAAATCTTTTTGAGAAATATTGATAACACTTTTTCAACATTCTCTTCTTAATATTTTTTTCTTAAATATATGTTAGGTATATATAAGTATTGTTTTATCTCATTTTAATCTTTAAAAGAAAAAAAAAACTGTCTCTTAATATTTTTTTTAAGTTTTATTTTATTTATTATTAGTAGTGTTGAAGCAATGTATCTATTAAAGATAAAATAAAAATAAAATAATAAAAATATATTAGTCTAACTAGTATTATAATTAGTCTATTAATTTTAAGTTCTTAAATTTGATTAAAAATATTATTTTTAGTAATTTTTTAAAACATAACAGTATAATGATCAACAAAGAAATTGAGATAGTTAATAAAAAGAGTATTTATTTATATATTAATATAGGTTAACTTTATTTAGTTTAATATGGACATAATTAATTAATAAATATTAATATTAAGATAATTAAAATAATAATAATATTTAAATTTAGATAATTAAATTATTTTTAGGTACACTTTAATTAAAGAATATATTTCTTGTTTTATATAAATAAGATAAGTATATAGTTTGTTGATTATTATTTTTTATTGTCTTGATTATCCTGATATTCTTCATTTGAAAATAAATAATATTTTAATTTGTATAACACACAAGTTAAATATTTATCATATATAATTAAAATTTAAAATAATATATATATATATATATATATATATATATATTTAAAATATTATTATATTATATAATTGTTTTTATTCATTAATAAATTATTTAATTTATTAAAATTAATTTATACATAATTATAATAAATAAAAATTAAATTAATTATGAAGTTCAAAAAAAATTGAAAAATTACGTTCTCACGTAACATAAGTTTCACATTTTATATATAAAGGTTGGTTATTTTAATTATATCAACACTAAACTAACTAAAATTAATAATTGATAATAAGGATTAAAAAAATGTCAGAATACGAAACTAACAAAAAAAATGTTAAGAATATATAATTAGTATTTTAGTTGATGTAAAGTATAATTTAAGTTTTTATTATATAATTAAAATTTATAATAAATTATATATAATTAAATATTATATTTGATATGTAAGTTATATTTAATATTTTATAAATAAGTACTTTTAAATATAAACAATTTATATTATGATACAATATTCTTTTAAATTATTGATAATTTATTTTAAATATTATAAATTAAAATTAAGTTAGATAAAAAATTAATATAATCAATCATTTCATGAGATTGATAATAAAGGAAGGTTGAGATGTGTATTTTGGGTTGATTGTATTTGTCAAAAAATTATTCTATATTTGGAAATGTAATTTTATTTGACACAATATATAGTACAAATAAATATTGTATGATTTTTGTACCATTGGTATAAATTACCATTGGCAAAATATATTCCTTGGATTTGCCTTCTTAGCAGATGAAAAGGTTTATTCATTTGTGTGGTTATTTGAGACATTTTCAAAAGCAATGAGAGGACATAAACCTGTGATGGTCATAATAGATCAAGATCTAGCTATGAAAATTGTAATAGAAAAGGTATTTAATGGTTTGTCATAGATTTTGCATGTGGCATTTGATAAACTTATTGAAAAGGTGAATGCTTTTTAATTGTCAATTCTTAATTTCAAAGTCATTTCATGTGGTGTGTTTGGAATTTAGAGTCATCAAAAGAATTTGATTTGACTTGTAAGACTATTATTAGTGGTTTCAACTTGGAAGAAAATGGTTGACTTTCTCAAATGTACAACATTCAAAGTATATGGGTGTTAACTTGTTCTAAAGATGCATTTAATGATGGAATTTGAGAACAACCTCAAGATCAGATAGTAAAAGTTTAAATTTTTGGTAACTACTTCAATAAGAACCTTAGCTTGGTGGAATTGTGGATGCAATTCGATTCTACAATAGAAGCACAAAGACGTAAGGAACTACTTGCAAATGATGATATATTACATTTTATTCCATAATTAAAGTTACATATAAATATAGAGAAGCATGGTAGAGAAATTTATAATCATGTAAACTTTTATATATTTCAAAAAGAGTTGTGAAGTGCTTGTGTTGATTGGGGAATTGAAGAAACAATAGAAAAATATGGAAAATCAACATTTTCTATAATTTATAGCATTATAGTCAATGACAACAAAAGGAGCAAACATAAATTTGAAGGTATGACGTGTCGACACATCCTTTTTGTAATAAATGAAAAAGGTTTAAATGAAATTCCAAGCCTCTACATTCTTAACATATGGACAAAGTTAGCAACTAATAGACCAATTTTTGAATATGATAGAAATGTAAGTGAGGAATGTTCTGAATTGAAAAGTGAGAAAAAATTAATTACAGATGCAAGAACACAATTGTTTAAATGTATGCATATGAATGATACATGTAAAGAGAAATTATCCCTTGTTCTAAATAAAGATTCTAGTATTGAATCCAAATTAGCTGACATGAAAAGTGATATTGTACTAATATCCATAGATTATTTGAAGTTCTTTATTAGTTCTAATATACTCAAGGAGATTGAAATCCCTCCACCTAAACCTTCAAATACTAAAGTATGTGGAAAATAAATTAAACAGGAAAAAGAAAAGCAATGGATATGTGAGGGTGAGAAAGAAATATGAAAATTAAAAGAAAGTATTCCTCTATATATAATATATCGTATAAATATAAATTATTATTATTACCAATCTCTATATATTAAACATAAAATTCTATCAAGAATACTTTTAAAAACTTTTCTTAGCAAGATAATTTACAAAAAAAAAACTTTTTAACTTCTTATCAAATTTGATTTTTATTTATTATAATTATTTATGAATTAAATATTAATATTTTAAAATAAATTATTGCAACAACCCGTCGTGACCAGCATACTGCGAAATAACACAACACACTACTATAATATATACTAAAATAGTATAATAAGATTATTATAACACAAGTTGTTAAGCAAGCAACCAAAAAATCCAAATATATACAAAAAAATATGCTACTTTAAGGTAGCCTACAAAACAAAATATCCACTATAGATACCTCCAGTGGCCTCTAGCAACTATCTCTCAACATATCTACCTTGCTCTCATACATCGTATGATTATCGCAGTCCAAACCACATGGAAACATGCAAGGGTAAGCTTGTAAAAATAAACTATATTTTAAAATATTAATGTATACTAATTTTAAATATAATTTATATATTACACATAATATTTTTATAAATAATATATTATAAATTTTAATTATATTATATATAACATGCTTTCAAAGTGTAAAATAATAATTATGTATTACCCCAAAATACCCTCTTTGTTACACTCACCCCTCGTATTCTCATTCTACACTTCCCTCTTTTTCCCTTAAACGAGCTTCACTGAGGTACCAGCTTTACTGCTCAACCATTCCTATCATCCAATTTCATCTTCCTTTTGGTTGTACTTCGTACCGATTTGTATTAATTATTGGTTTCATCGGTTTTCAACCATTTGGTTTTGACATTTGCGTAATACTTTTTTGATGTGATGATTTCGAGTTGTATTTGATTCCCCCCTTAATTTCCTAACGGTACATTGTTTTTTTCTTCTATTGCAAAGTGCACCTCTGTAAAAATTGTTGGATATAGACTTATAGATAATTTGGAGTTACCAATTCAACCATGGGCTATTATGTGTGCGAGATCATATGATTTATATCACTTCTGCCATATCTCTATATACTACGTTGATTTGTTCCTGTTGTATGTGGTTCTTGACAATGAATAGAAAACATGGTTTGTTTTTGGTATGAGTTTCTCATAAGACTCACTGTTATTAGAGGAAGAGCTACTTGAAAACTGGAGTGATATATTAATGAAAAGAGAGAAATGTAAGAGGGGGAGTTTAGTAGAAAGGGGGTATTTTTGAAAAAACAATAAAAAAAATACAGGGAGTGTATTAGTTAGAAAAGGGAGTGCAAATAGAAATTGCTCCTAGTTTATTTTCAGAAAAATCTGGCCTGGCGTAGGCCATAGTCGAGGCTTGTCCTATTTCCACACCTATATTTGTATAATCCAAAGTTGTCCTGACCCATCACTCATTGATCATTTTCTGGATGCTTTAGGCTTCTCTAGACTGCCAGTGTAGGTGTAGACGCTCCACGGATCCTTTAATATAATCAAAGCTTTCTCTAGGTTTAGTATCTCAAACCACTTTTGGAGAAAAAAAATAAAAAACAGACACATTTGAGGTTTGGGTTTATATTTCTCTCCTTTCTACAAGTTGGTCATTCTGTTAAGTCATCCAGCAAGTTAAATTTATGCTAATTTTGATTTTAAACTTCGTTTTGCTTCTCGGTTTTATGTATTCCTTAGTGAATCTAGTTTTGGGTTGAAATTGTGAAATTGTTGGTATTAGTCTTCTCACATTTCTTAGCCGGAAGGATGTCGTGACTGTTTCGTGTAACGCCTGTTCACGTATCAGTTTCGTAGAGGATCCTTTGCTAGTATTTTGTTTATTTGGAAATTGGAAGTGTTTCTAGATAATGGATATGCATCATGTTGGATACTGATTTTGATTCATTGATTTTTGAGTTATGAAGTTCTAAGATTATTGAAATTTGTTTTTTATTTCCCAAATTCTTTATTGAGCCAATGGTGATTATTTTGGCTACTGTGGTTCAATTTGAGCATGCAAGCTAATGCAATCCAGATAATATATAAGAATTTCATTAGAAGATGTACAGTATATATTCTACTTGTATCCTCACTCAACGATCCTAACACACAACATTGATACTTGCCTGTGGTTTTGTCTGCTAGTAATGTTGTAAAGAGAATTTGATCTTTGTGTAGGTGCTATATCATTTAATGGGTTTATGGAGAGTGCTTCCATCTTCTTGCTAGGTCTACTTGAATGATCATGGACTTGTTCACTAATTTGTTGTGTCAAGGACATATTTTATGATTTGTTAAACTGCATTTGGGATTAATACCTTACATGTTTTTTGTAAGAGGAATTCTCAGCCAACTTTAACAAAAGATGCAGGATTCCTCAATGCCAATACATGAATTTTGGGTGGGCCAACGGGTACATGCATCTGATGATTCACGGAGAATTGGTACAGTTAAGTTCGTAGGGCCTATAGAAGGCTATTCAGACACATGGGTTGGAGTGGACTGGGACAATGGACAAGGCAAACATGATGGATCCATCAATGGTGTCCGATACTTTCATGCAAAGTCAGAAAGATCAGCATCATTTGTTCGTGCCCAGAATCTGAACCACGGGATTTCATTGCTGGAAGCCATTGAAAGAAGATATAAAAGTGGCTCTACTAAAGAAGAAGAGGGTATATCTCCAGTTTAAATTCATTTGTTGTTAAAACATTGGCTTAAATATGTTTAAACTACCTCGAATTAGCTCGATTTTCAGATTACTACTTTTTAAATTTTTTTTTTGATAAAATTACCTGACAAATGTTTTTCTTTCAATTTAGTACCTAACGTTAGTTTCCTCTGTTGATGACGTGACAAACGGACTGCCACATCATCACCCAACAGTGTCTGCTACGTCATCCAAGGGATTGCCACATGGACATGGTGATGATGTGGCAAACATTGTTGGGTGATGACACTGCCACGCCATTACTTGACAGAGAGGGACCAACGTCAGGTACTAAATTAAAGAAAAAAATTAGTCAAGTATTTAAAACAAAAAATAATAAATTAATAGGTAGTAATCTGAAAACCGACCTAATTGGAGATAGTAATTTGAAAAAACGACCTAATTGAAGGTAGTAATCTAAAAACCGACTTAATTGAAGGTAGTAATCTGAAAACCGACCTAATTGAAAGAGACTTGACTTCGCTGCACCTTTTTTTATTATTACATATGATGGAAACGTAAAAAAAAAAAAAACAAGATTTAAAGTGAAAGTAGCTAGAATTCCGTCTGGAGGAGACTTGACTTAGCAAATAAATTTTCAGTACTTCCATATAAGTGAAAGATACAAAATGAAAAAAAAAAAAAAAAAATAT